ATCTTTTTTACAATTTTCCCCATTTTTTGGTATTATATTTTATGTAATAGTTTAAAAGAGAGAGAGAACACCGTAAAGTGTAAACAAACAGACTCAAAACCTTACAAATTAGAGTGTTCTTACAAATTTAATCAATATAATATTTTAAGAGAAAATGAACTTATATACAAACTTAATAAATATTGGAAACACTCTACTAGGACTGGACAGAAAAATGCAATAATGCTATTGTTTCTCTTATCAATAATTTTGCAAATTCAATTGTCAAATGGTATTGAATATCTTTGGCCAACACTGAATAGATTGTTCAACATTTTCATATGTATAGAACATCATATTTAATAATAAAAAAAAGGTCATTTTGAAATCCACCACAATTCTAAACCGATTATGTTACTAAATATGAATTGATATTGTATATTAGTTATATAATCATACAAATTATTAAGTTTCTAATTATATGTCTTTTTCTAAGATCTAATTTTTTATAATTTCAAATGTACGAGCTATAATTATTGAACTACATGTAGATGTCGAATTCGGCTCCAAATTATTTATCTCAATTTTGCAAGGTCAACGTTAGCGCAAATATTCTTTATTTCTATTTTTTTGGTGTCGAATTCAGGTAAAAAAAAAAGTAACTATTTTACCCATAAAGTAAGTTTCCTGGGAAGCTCTAATTTGATTCCAAATCAACTAATTTAGTCAACTATGCTCCAAGCATTTGCCACTTGGGCAGTTTTAATCTCTCTCGTTTACTGGCCGGACGCCCATCATACGGAAAGAGACCCAAACAACAACAAATTATAGTTTTTATTTATTTAAATGATAGTTGATCATGTATTGTTAACATATCAAATTGTAGTATCAAAAAATTTGATAATCAATAAATGGTATGGAACTTCTGAATTATTGATCAAACCTCAATAAGGAAATTGTCAAACAATAAGTAAGGGATAACAAATTATTGATTGAACAAAAAAAGTCGAGTTTGAAAAACATTTTTTGTATGAACACTCACAATAGTTTAAATAAATATTAAACATTTATGTAATATAATACAATAAAAATTTGATACGATACATCAAATCCGAATCCGCAATCATCACAGAAAAATTATTGAACGAAGCATTCAATCAGAACCCAAAAAATCACTCGCAATTCCGGTAGACAGCAGCAACATTTTCTTTATCATCTTCCACATATCTCTTCTCGTTTGTTGAATGTTGAACTGAAGATTTCAACTACTCACCCGGTATAATAGAATTTTCAACGGAACCGATTGTTGGAAACTTAGAGTCAATACAATCATTTACCCAGGTTGAACATGAAGAAGGAATATATATGTGATGAATATGCAATTTAACACACTACAAAAATTTTGCATTTTTGTGACAAAATATTCCATTGCAAAACCAATTTTTCTATCGCAAAACTAGTTTGTGACAAAATTAGTGATGGATACAAATATCCGTCACTATTTTTTAGTCGCTTCCGTTTTGTGACTACCAATGTCTTAACAATGAATAAATGTTACACATGGACCAAAGATTTTTGTAGTTGCCTTTGAAATGTTGATGCTGGTCCACGGACAGCAAAACAAGGGGGAAGAAAAGAAAAAAAAAACAAAAATGTTAGGACTTGAATCATGAGACGGGCTACTATTAATGAGCTTCGAGATAAAATTAGGATCAACTGCATTACCTTACAAGTGGATTATTAATTTTCACATTGCTTTTGGAAATATCATCCTCGTGTAAAGTTGGGTGACTAGATTTCTGTTTTGGAACGGTAATTCTTGTCATTTCACCACATAAACCAAAATGTTGTTTCAGAGATCTCTTGATCTGCAATTTATGGTTCTTAAACTCATAATAGTAAAACAAAGAATTTTGGGACTAACATATTGAAGTGCAGAATGTTAGAATGGAAAAACATACCTGATCAATACCATAATGTTTATCAAATCCACGAATGTATATTTTTTGTACCTTTTGGGATGAGTTTGTCTTTGACACTAAAATGATTTTTACCCATGTCGTGATATTTATCAAAATGCATATTGCATTAGAAATATGAATTAAAGTAGTTTTACCTTTCGTAAGAGTTGAGTGGAGCCTTTTTCCCTTACAAAGTCCATTTTAATGGGATGACGTAGCAGCTCCTTACCATTCAATTCTCTGTCAGCCTACATATAAACAAGAAATTATTAAAATAAAATAGTTGTACCAATTGCATGTGTTCCCAAAAGAAATAAGTATATTGTGCTCCATGATTTGCAATAAATATGCCAAGACAACCCAAATAATACAAGGAAATTGGACAATGATCCATCTTCAACATATCAAACTTTCAGAAATAGTACAAGTTTAAATATTAAGTCCCTACATATACATATATATATACATACCAATGTAATTCCTCAACGAAAACAATAATATTAAAATACCTGGGGTCTTGTTCCATCTCTTAAGCAAAGCTTCTCTAGAGTCTTGCTTACAAGAATTACACGAATAATGGTTTCGGTTGTCTTTCCGTAGTCCTTAGAGATTGTGTCTGTCCTGATAGATTGTTTGGCCAAACCATCAATGCTTTGCCTAATTTTTCTAGTCCTTGGCGTCTGACTCGAAAAATGCAAGCCAAAGATCTTTACCGGCTTAAATTTGGAATCTAGCTTGATCTTTTGCAAAGGGCTCAAGCCATTCATAGGGTCCAAATCACTGTTGAAGACAGCCACAATGTCTATAGTTGAAAGTTCTATGCCTGTAAACACAACATCGAATTTTCATCAATGGTATGTTAATTAACAAGAATAAGCAAATGGTTATTATCTTCAATATAAACATGAATATTATGTTTGTTTGTATTCAAAAATTCATATATAACAATTATCTTTGATTCAAAAGAGAGCATAAAATTCATACAGAACATTAGATTTGGGCATTATTTTCGATTCAAAACAAGCAGGCATATCTGCACCAAACAATTATTCTACCTCAAAACCATCAAAATCGAAACACACACAATTATTGTTCATTTATAGCTCCAAAATTCAACATCAATTTCTTTCATGAGGTAATGTATCGTGATGAGCTCACTTTTCGAATACAATATTTTGACCCAATTTCTTACCAAGGGTTTCACAAATTCGTATTGGGATAATGCAAAGTTCGATCTCGAATTTTGGTAGAAAATTTGAGACAAGGTGAACATCGGGAATAAATATGTGTATGGAGACTATAATTTATTGCAGAGATAAAATTATTGTATATATTTTTCTTAATTTGATATATACGAAAATGAGAACATCTCATCTATTTATATATCATAAGTAACCTTTCATTTAAATTCAACAAATACAATAGTTCAATTTAAATTTAAATTTCAAAATTAAAGGATGTATTGTTTCAATTCAAATATTAATTTGAATTCAGAATAAATTGGTGTGTTTACTCAATTCAAAAAAAAAAAAAAAGTTTGAATTCATAAGATAAATATTATTAGACATATCAATTCATAAATAAGCATAAATTTTGATATTAAAATTCTAGAAAAATTCCATAATAGCCCGTACCACTTTGTCATGCCCATGACTAAGTTAGCTATTACATTATATCCTACAAGTTTAATTATAGAACGTCTAGAGTTGTACACGGCAGACTTAATCGTGCCCATGACTAAAGCCGTATCAACAATTTGTCCCAGAACTTGTGTTGTTTGTCAAAATCATGTCGAAACTAGCTTATTCGAGTGCACACTCCACACATTTCATCCCAAAATTCACTTAAACCCCAATATTCATTGGTCTCGAATAAATCCAATTACACTAAAATTACTAACAAAGCCAATGAATAGATTATCAATGTATTTGAAGCATTCAATCATACTTCCCTTCCATGGTGCTGTTTTTTTTTTCACAAACCACCTATAAAATCTCAATGCAATCAAACACAACGGTGTCTCCCAAATCCATATAGGAATTGTTGGTATGCTCTATGTTGATGTTTTATTGTTTCCAATCAGCCCCACCGTGGGCTGCACCAAATTTTTGATCAATCAAAGATGGTTGATAAATTGCACTGCAGGCAAGCCAAAAATATGTTTCCGGCTGCCTCCCCCAACAAAAAAAAAATGTTTGCATTCTTTATGAGATTTAAATTTTATTCTTTTAAATTGATATCACTACCAAAAAAACTGTTTTCTATTACGGCTGGAAAATCGTAACAAAAAGCCATATTTCGTGCAATTTGCGTATTTGCTACGCCTTTGTTACGACTTTTTTCCGTAATGTGTACTCGCGTAACGAATGTTTTTTGCCACGCCACTTTTCGTAACTATTACGATCGGTCAACGCTCCCTGAAGTATGGTATTTGTTACGATGTTTGTTACGAATTTTCTCTCGTAACGAAAGGTAGATCCTTCCGCGCGTGTGGCAGGACTTTTAGTTACGGTATTTGTTACGGAAGTTCCTCGCGTTACAAGTGTTTTCCATTGACCGGTTGTCAGAACTTGGTTTTTGTTACGACTATTTGTAACGGCATTGAACCCCGTAAAAAAAATATTACCTACTTATAGTCACGAAACCGTCTGTAACAACAAATATCCAAAGACCACTTTTTGTAACGATTTTCTGGCCTTTTGTTACGGAAAAATAGCGTATTGTGAAAAACAGGGGGTACGCTGCAATTGAAATTGTTCGTAACAAATGGACCTGCTGTGATGCGTATGATACGAAAATAAATTACGAATACAAAGATTGCTATAAACATCATCATCATTACGCCCCGCGCAAACATTAATTCATATTAAAATCTGAATTCCATACCTACCAACAAAGTAAAGCAACCCATAGAACAAGCCTACTAGTATCTACACATCAACAACCTGTTCCGCAAAACGTGCTTAACAGTTCAAACAGAAGTAAACAACGCAATAAGCAAATACGGTTATCCATCAATCCCATTAGGCACATTTTTCACCAAACGAATTCAACCCACAAAGGTCTACGCATCAATTCCAGACATAGTTCAACAAAAACTCAACACAATCCATCCAAAGACAGGTTCGACATTCAATCCATATGACAAACGGGGCAATTAACATGGGTGTATCGGTACCAACATTTCAAGCCCGGCGCATGAGCTGCAATTGCCAACACAGAGATTACTTTAAGTCATACTTCTTATAAATTTCGGAAGGCAATACAAGAAAGGTATTAAAGTAGATCCTTACGTCGTTGTAGCTCCACTCAATAGGATCTTCGCCGACGACATCGCGAAGGGTAGTCGCCCCAGAAATGGTCGGCAAAATAAGGGGTGTGTCCGGGACTGACGCGGATGTCACGAAGACCTTGACCAAGGAAAGTGTGTCACCTACAGCATTCACAAGAGCGATTTTTGATTACATTCAAGCATATATATCAACAGACGTTCGAACTGTATATATAACATGTCATAACACAGACATTATAAGTGTAATACTTTGGAACTAGAACAAGAGGAGTACGTACATTCAGACATGTCGTACAGTACATGGTATTACATTCATGAGTTAGGTAGCGAAGCACATTATACCCTAATTTCCTATGTAATTGCAGCTTGATCTTTAAACCAAACATCCTTCAATAAACATGGGTCGTCATAATAGCAGTTATTTTACCACCCCTACATTAACAGTCTACATCGCTTTGGAAATCCACGGATCGTATCATTGTATACTTCTACACTTAGTGAATCCATGCTAATACGCAATATGAGGCCTGAACAGTCACGAAAACCTACGATATCTCGCTGAGGCATATTAAAAGTTTAATTAAACATCCTCAAAGATACCGGACCAACCTGGCCCAGGGGGGCAGAGCAGAAGTCCCTCTGCAACAACTTTTTTCTCACCCGTGCGGGATAATAGAAGCACATGTGTGCCGACCTACAACAGACAGGGCATATGAGTTGGATAAGGTAGTACGCAGTCAAGAGTAGCCTAAATTAGACACTGCACTGATTTCTAAGAAACTCCAGGGCGTCACGGAATCATACCGTCATGCTTGGCTCGGACACAGGCCTGGGAATCTCAGGGACTGAATCAATACGAGATGTGCCCTATCATATAACATGCCGAGGATGGTAAATTCCTTCGCCATCCAAATCTCATGGGATACTCATACCAAACAGGTCAGGGATTATGAATACTTATTGCCTAGCCAGTAACCGCTCCGGAGTTTCTGTGCATGAATGCATACACATCAGCCTTGATGGTTTTGAACTCATCCATCATTGCCTTCAGCTCCTCCATTCCATTCTGTAGTTGTTCCCACCCATGCTGGAATGCTACACTGTCTGTTAAACCAGATGACTCGCTGCGGGGATGAGCTGAAGTTGCCGCACTGTCGACCTTTGACCGCTTCTTAATCTTTCCCCCAAGGGCCCGTCGGTACAGAGTCTCCCGAACAGAGGGAGTCCGCCCTTCAGGGGGAACCTTGTTTAGCTCATTCTGTAAATAAGTCTACAGGAAAGATTTAAGTGAGGCCGAACTTGCTCTTGTTGTTAGAGATGTAAATACTGACTGAATTGTAACTAAGTTGGGAACAAATTTATTCTACCAATATCTCCTCGGTTTCTTGGTCATCCTTTCCCTTGCCTTGTGTGCGACTGGAAATCCAAATCTCCAGATTGTCGGGGTCCTTCCCCTTTGCCTTGATCTGCAGCAATACAAGGCCTTCTGTCATCGAAAACATAATGAAATACAGGAGAGGAAAATAGGGGGATGGAGCATGACATGACTAATTACTTAATTGTAATAAAAGGTACCTCCTCTGCCAGAGTCGTGAATGACTTCCGCCCAGTACGATGTGGAAAGCTTCTTTTCGCTACGTTCGACGCATTTTTCTTGGATTGAAGCTACGTCAATCAAAGTTATTTAGTTCTCAGTCCATGCCCGTGCAGATTTAACGTATATTAATTTGGCATGTCCCTATGCGTACCTTCACCTTCTCGTCGCGCCAATACTCAACCAACTTCGGCCACTGATCGGGCACAATCCTGCTTGAGGGAACCTTCTTCAGTGCTTCTTCATCGTCCTCGATTGGATTGAAGTAAGTTGATTTGATGCTGTATTTCCAGTGCCTCCAAACTTCCCTTAGGTCAGCCAAGACCACTTTCTCCGCTGAGTCTGGTAATCCGCTGTTACTCTGGAATGCCGTTTCACACGGTTTCCACCAGGTCCGGAGAAGATGGTAGGGCCATATATAAGAATCTATATGAAATAAAAGAACTTTCAATTTAATGAAGTTTGCATCACCTGAACCTCCATCCATGCACCCTGTCTCTTCGTCTCCGGTATCTCAGCGAACGTGGGGTAATGTAGAGGAAGTCGAGCTCCGTTGCGTGCAATGACCCCAATGGCTGTCTTGTACTCGTTTACGTCGGGTCCGACGATGCTTTTACCATCCGGCGATGTGAATACAAGCATCCTGTGATCTTTTCCCCATCCACGCGGCATTCGTGCCGCCCCTCTCCCCTGCTTTTTCTTTGACGAACCAGTTGACACAAACAGGAGATTACATGTTCTAATAAGGATATTACATGCAAAATATGAAGTCACTAAATGTAATCGGTAATCTTTGAAGGCTAATTTCCAAACCGTCGTGCGATGTCATCTCGTCCAATGGTGCCATATTGCCCGCCTTTGTTCCTGTCATCAGAGTGGGGTCGGAGCCTGGCCCTTCATCCAAGAGTGGCATATCACTCTCTGCAGTCTCCATGTCCTGCGTCGGCGGAAGTGTCTCGTCATCTGCTTGTGTGGGGGGGATTGTATCATCGTTATCCTGTGTCAGTGCCGTCGGATCAAAAAGTGATGGAACATCCCTATCATCATGTTCCTGTTGGGGTTAACAGTGTCAGCCTATTGTAGTGTTATACTGAGAGTTCAAATAAGGACATGCTTTCGGCAAAGGAACCACATTACCTCCAAAGGGCCCTCTGAATCCTGAAGCACTGCCCTTCGAGTGGAAGATGTTGGCTTCATGCTTTGACCACGAGCATCGCGCTCTTTCTCCCACTCTGATGTGATGGACCGGAGTCGTTGGAGCAGTGGCGAGACCCGAGATCCCTTCCGTTTTGTCACTTTCTTTGTGGGATTGCGGATGGGCGATGGATTCCTGCTTGCGGGATGAGTTGCCTCTAGGGGGCTGTTACGTGCGGATGCCCGGGTAAAACGTCTTGCGGGAGAGACTGCCGGATCCTGTGACCCTCCAACGGCAGCACGTTGAGATTTGCCCATAACCTGCAAGACACCAGTGTTAGAACCTTTTAAAATCACAACATTAAGGCCCATGGTTTAAAATCAGCCATTATCTCCACTTTAGAACCTTTTATGGATGCCATTTAATGAGAATTAAATGATGTCTACGCTCCGCCAAAAATTCTGAGCGTCATCTCTAGATACTAGAGCAGCAAGAATTATCCATACCCTACTTGGGCCAAGAAAAATTTCCTACTATTCTAAATTTTTCCTTGCCCTTTTGTACGAATATGAAAAAAATGCTCAAATCTGATGTCTAAAGAGTAAAGCAGGTTTGTGGGAATGCACATAACACTTAACTACACCACCACTCGAGAAAACATAGAACACTTAGAAGCTTTGCACTGTGGAAATGCATTAAAAAGAAATCCGACCTTCCGTTAAACTCAATGTTGCTTATCCTGAATTCACACTGCACACTTTTGTCTCCACAATTTAGTATCCTGTAAAAAAACACAAGTTAAATATGCACTCATTTTCAGTTAAAATAGCCCAAATGGTGTTGCTTCCGACAAATCGACGCATACAACCAAGTTACAAAAAAAATGGTATTAGTTCCGACAAAGGAAATTCATTAAGCATGCACTTTGAGTTAATTGTCAATGCACAAATGTGTTTTGAAATAATGAAATTGAATATGTTATTCAGTTGGTGCAGATCGATGAAGAGAGTTTCCCGTGCTGTAGGATAGAATTCATAGTGATGATGTTTTTCAATCATGCCGACAAGGAACCTGGGTCCTCTATATGTTGATTACACCTCTAGTAGAAACCCTTTAAAACAAATATGAAATAATTCTGAAATCTGATGGGAAAAAAATATTTTAGATTCGTAGGAATGCACTTAACACTTCATTGCACCACCCACCCAATAAACATACATCACAGAAAAGTTGCTACACAGTGGCATAGCATAAAAAATAAAGCAGACCTTTTGTTAAACTCAAAGCTAGGTATCCTGAATGAGCACAGCACGCCTGCGTTGACATACGTTCACTTCCTATAAAAAAACATAAGTTAAACATGCACTAATTTTCAATGAAAAATGCGCAAAGTACTACATTAATTAAACATGCACTAATTCACAATATGCATTCCCTCTTTTAGGATTGAATTAGAACCATATATACCACCTTTAGTATTATGTGATGATGGAGGAGCTGAAACTGTATAACACCCTAAGGAAAACCTACAGCAGATCAGACCCCCTCCCCTGCTTTCTTCTTTATTTTCAAAATGGGCTTTCAATTCTCTACTCAATTATACAACCTAAAAGAGTGAGTTAATCAATCAATCAATCAATCGTTGCAACCAAGCAAGCACAGGTGGAGATTATATGCCGCCGAGGAGTGTGCAAAGCATCTATCTTTTCATCTTTAGTCCTAATCGAACAAATCTATTTAAGGAGAGCAGAGCAGAGCACGCAACAAACATGGAATCTAGCAGTGTAGCCAGCTGAGATCCACAATCTTCCGAATTGAAGATCCCACGCACAAGTGCATACAGATGCAGAAAACCAATGAAGCAGTGCCGTGCAGAGACCTCCACAGAAAATCGAAATCAGTGAGGTTTAGAAGAAAATGAAGAAGGCAAGAAGCAATCTATTAAGATCCATATCATATGCAGCACGACTGTACAGTTCAATGCATCTCTTTTCTATGAACCAAAAAAAGAAAAACAAGCACAGACAGATAAGGTAAGGATAGAGTGTCACAACCTCAGTAGAGGAAAGACAAGCAAATCCCGAGTTGAAGCAGAGGGCGTGGCCTTGCGTACATAGCAGCGCTAGTTAAGTCCATGCACAGTAAACACATAATCCAAAGGAACTTTTGTATAGATTTGAAAATACTAATAAATTCTCAAAGTTGAGCTTCTGCTCTGGCTCATGGTTCTGCGCCTTTCCCTAATGTCATCGCTGCATAGTAGAAACAAATGCAAAAATAAGTGGAATGCTAGTAACATAATCATGGATGCATCAAACATGATGGCCGTTTAGCAATCGATCATTGGGTACATAGAAGATTTCATGGAACCAGTAACTAGCAGTAATGTAAGATATGACAATTTAACATATCAAATCGGTGCTATCGAAATTTCTTATAAGTCAATCGTTCACATAGTAAGCAAAGATAGCAAATAGCACCTACTTATGACTATTCTACAGGTTTCGACACAACCCTACTGTTGTTTATGCAACTCCAGATTGAAGTCCATTACACCACCACCCGAGAAAACATAGAAAAATTAGAAGCTTTGCACAGTGGAAATGCATTAAAAAGAAATCAGACCTTTCATTAAACTCAAGTATGCTTATCCTGAATTCACACTGCACGCCTTTGTCTCCACAATTTAGTATCCTGTAAAAAAAAAATACAAGTTAAATATGCACTCATTTTCAGTAAAAATAGCACAAACTACTACAAAAGTTAAACATGCACTACGTTACAATATCCATTACTTATTGTAGGATTGAATTGGTACATATATATATCACTTTTAGTATTATATGATGGCAGGATTAACATTTGAAGTACATAAAACTAAAAGAAAGGATTACAAGTGTGAAATGCTATTATTCTGATGGGAATGAAGATGACGAATTGACGACTAACCAAGCAAGGAACAACATAATTAAACTAGCCTAAGTATAATGACAACAGTAGATTATATTAACTATCTAATGTACCACAGACATAGTAAGAAATTAAATTTAACCTAAACAATCTGAACTGACTGAGCCTATTACAATTACAACGAGATTGATTAACAGGATAGGCTAGAACTACTTAAATTTGCAGCAACAACTAAGATATACACATTACAAACACTGTTGGCTCACTAAATTAATCTAGCACACATCAAACTAAATTAGTTTACAGCAGTTAAGCAAATTATCCAATGAACAGCTCGCCTAATTTAACTTAAGCCCACAACATCAGCAATATCTGGAAGCAACTTAATATTAATGAATGCAACAACAATAAATACAAAGCTTTTTCAAAGACGGACAAACAAACAATGAGAAGAAGATGATAATGCATGTCATGTGCATGTGTATGCATATATTCATGGAATGAATTAGATAGAGCTAGTTACGAAACCCATTTGTTTGTTTTCCTTCTCCATTTCACACATACATCATCTTTATCATACTATTCAGCAACTGATTCACTGCTTCAAAAATGATTTTGTTTCCAAAACACTTATTGAATGGTAGAATTTTACTAAAGAAACTTGGGTAGTATGAATAGCACCATTTACAGTTTCACCCTTTTCGAATATGATGCTTAATCAATTCAACAATTTCTGGTCTTCGCACTATTAATCCTTAATTCACAAGCCGGTGGCTTTTCAAGTTCATTTTGTGCAGTTGTCAATATTTTATTTTTTTGATTTCATACATATACATTTATTTATTTATTTTATTTCAAAATCATATTTGAAAATGTGGTGATAAAAGATATTAAATTATCTTTGTTATGAGGCTGAGTTATTAATGAAGACACACATTAAGAATCACTTTGATAACAGTCTTATCTTAAATCTAGAATAAAAAAAAGTAAATTGCACAAGGGGCAGGGCAGCCCGGCACTGCAAGCTCAAATATGAAAAATAAAACAAAATATAGTTGAAAATCCACCCCCACACCTTTGTGAAATGTGAGAGTTAGCGCAAGATATCATGAAAGAACAATATATACCCAGAAAGAAAAATCAAAATTGGGCTCAATACCTATGTTCACACACAAATTGTAACGATGAGGAAGAAATCTTTCGGTACCTAAAGATACTCCCTAAAGCAGAGCTCCGTATCAACCTGAGGAAGAAGCTGAATATTAATACTCCCTAATTCGATTTTTCCTTATAGGAAGAGATGAAGAACTGCGAATCGACAACAAATAATACTGGAGAAAACTTTAAAACATTACTTGGACGCTAGCGCCGGACTACCTATTCAATTCCACAACAATGCGCGTCGCGTCGGCGAAAGAAAGAAGGGAGTCGTCGATCGTTGGAGGGGACGAAATACTATGCCCTCAATTTGTCTGATTTTTCTAAGTATGGGAAAGTGAAATCTTTTTGCCCTAGATCTCTACAAGCGTGTTTATTTTGTCTGTTGAGTGAAAGCGCAGATGCGTTTTTACCTTTTTCTTCTTTTTTTTTTAATTTATTTATTGCAAAAAAATTTTTAATTAATATTATTTAACCAGTTGTTACGAAAAACTATCATAACAA